CATCCATACGATAAGTGACCTGGACATAGAGGCCAACATTGGTTTCCTACAACTGTAATGCTAAATGTACCTATTTTAAAACTAAAGCTTCACATGTTTCATTGTCCATAATAAACTGTAGAAACAAAAATGTAGCTCAATGTATTTTGTTTCCCCCCCCCCACCCCCCTGAGAAGATGTAGCATCTATGTATAGAAATGTTGTCAGAAGGTCTGGGTAGTGATAGTGGGAGTTTGGCTTTCTGCAGCCCCCCCACATGCCCCAAGTAGACGTCACCTCACTCGTGCGTGGTAGTGATGCTGCTGCTTGCTGTTCCTTGTGTGAGTGTATTCGTGTGTCTGTGTCTTTGAGTGTATGTCTCCGTGTGTGTGTGTTTTTCATGCTGCCCGATAGGCTGCCCTACATGACACAACTACAACTGTCTGGACCATAGGACAGGTACCACACTGATTGCAGCAACAACTACCGTGACATCTCCCTTCTCAACGTGCCAGAAAATGTCCTCCCAAAAATTATTCAACATCGCCTTGCCAGGCACGTTGAGGAAAGGCTTGTGGAGCCCCAATCTGGTTTCTGAACGATGCGGTCCTGCACAGACGCTATATTACAGGTAGGAACAACAGCTCCACACTGCCCACCAGGGATTATTTGTCTGTCTGTCGTGCATAGCCACGCGCTTCGGGCGGGCTCAGCACAACGTGACGCGCCGCCCCACGCAGCTGACGCCGCGTGACACGGATCGCACAAATGCGCTGTCCAACCAAGTTCCTACCTGCCCACTCCGAAGGGACGTGTTTACACCATTGGAACATCCTTTGCCAGTAGCAAAATATGATAATTGTTTTTTTACCCTTTTATCTGGCAACAAAACTGACACCTTCTTTTACAAGAAGTCATGTTTGCATTGACCACAATACCTGTGGTCGGAATGCAAACAAAAAACACAACTCTGATAATGTATGCACTGGTGTTTGAAATTTATTGGTCCACACCCGAGACAGCTTTTCTTAGAGCCGAGTCTCACATGGCGTTGGACCAGATGATGCCAAAAGGCGCACAACTCAAAGACAATGCACCATCAGAGTATGAGAGCTCAAAATAAGCATTTACACCATTGGAACCTCCTTTGCCAGTAGCAAAATATGATAATTGTTTTTTTACCCTTTTATCTGGCAACAAAACTGACACCTTTTTTTACAAGGAGTCATGTTTGCATTGACCACAATACCTGTGATCGAAATGCAAAAAAATACACAACTCGAATAATGTATTATCATATTTTGCTACTGGCAAAGGAGGTTCCAATGGTGTAAATGCTTAACCCGAGCTCTCATACTCTGATGGTGCATTGTCTTTGAGTTGTGCGCCTTTTGGCATCATCTGGTCCAACACCATGTGAGACGAGGCGCTAAGAAAAGCTGTCTCGGGTGTGGACCAATCAATTTCAAGGACAGTGCACATTATCAGTTGTGTTTTTTGTTTGCACCTGGTCATTTCTGCTGAGGCGTTGGAAACGGTCCTACTGAACCTAAAACATGCCCCATATGAGATGGGGCCTTACTTACCATGCGCCTCAATAAGAAAAAGCACATGCTTGCATATTTTATGTCATAAAATACTCCACCTTCTCAACCCCTAGTTGAGTGACGGGACATTTGTGGAGAGAGGAGTTCCCATATCAAGGCAGTGTGGCTATGGCCAGTTCCGGTTTTACATCAGAGGTTTCACTCCAAATCAGTCGAGCGGCATTATCTTTTCATCGGCTGCATAACACTGTGTGGAAACAACCTAGCCTGTTGCATCCATATTGGCTACGTACGGTGCGAAAGAAGTTCAACATACATACATAAATATGAAGCTCCGGGTCTGCTCAGCCACAGTTATGCCCTCCCTTCTCTATGCTTGAAAAACGTGAGGCCCTTTAAAGGAACATCCACACCAGTTTGAAAAATTCAGGCCGGCGCATCCACCTCCCGATCCTGGTTTTAACCAGGCAGGATTTTATGAGCTCATAGATCCTTGAAAGATCTAGACACAGTCCCATCAGTGAGCTCCCCCAGCAGACTGAGACCGTGTTGGCTGTGTCATGTAGCACCTATTTCCATCCACATCATGCCCAAGTTAGCTTCTGTTTAGCTGAATAGGGGGCTAAACGGGCACGGCGCAACGAGTTGAGATGTCAATATCGGCCTCTGCTAAGTGGAGACGGCTCGTGAACGACGCTTTGTGTGCGTAAATACCCAGGTTATCGTCTTGGCTGTGAGTTTACAGGTTTCTTTGTGCGCGGGAGGCGCATTGGCCACCAAAGCGCATAGGCACGTCTTAGTGTACATTACTGAGTAAACCCTTTGCTTTGGGTCGCCCAGCACACAGCAAGGTGTTATCATCCAGGTGCAGAGGGTTGGTACCCCGATCCCATGCATGGCGACATTGAATGCCCATTGAAACTCGTAGCAGTGCTGCCTTGTTCATCATCCGCTCATCGTGACTCGGCGCTAGGCGGAACGCGATCCCAAATCCCCACACTCGTGCCAACAACCGCATTGTGTGACACTGATCCAGTTTCAGCCCAAGTTTTATTTCAAAATACCACGTGTTGCTTTCACATTGGCATGCTATGAATTGTAAGGAAATAAACATTCTCGATCGGTACTTCTGAAAATATGCGTTGTAAAAAATAAAACCTTTTGGTGATTAAAAAGTGTACTTTTTTTTAAAGTCAGGAATAAGAATTATATTCATCATGGTGCTCTCGCTGCGTATTTTTATTGAGGTCAAGGAAGCGAAGGGGTGATTGGGAGAAGGCAAGAAATGTGGAGAGGTGTTGTCATACTCAGGGGTGGCCCGAAACAAGCTGCCAGCAACTGCCGCCGAGGTCCCCCAATGCAATCGGCGCCCTGCCCCCCAAGGGCAGACCGAGGCTGAGGTTTTTGGTAAACTGGGAAACATTTTGGCCATATTACCCGTTTAATGTTTTTTTTTTTGCGTATTTTTTTGTTAAACAGAGGCATTATTGGCGTTATCCGTCTGTCCAAGGCTCTAAGCAATGTTTTTGAGATCAGATAAAAAAAGAGACACGACATTATCAGAATAGATTTGTACACGACAGCTAGACGATACAATACACGAATCCGGAACAGTACACGAGGGGGTGGGTGACCGCCTTCGTCTCCCCAGTGGTGATGTTTACACACCGCACCAAGTACTCAGTTGAGGCCGAGTCAACCTAGAGGAGGCCGGGACCGGTTCGGATAACCGTCACCGGTGTTGGCCGTGAGCGGAAATCAAACCGGGACTGATAATTTTTACAACAAACGTTAAGGTGTGTCATTATTGTCTAGCCTGTGTTGTAATAATCACTATGAGCATAATGCAGCATTGGAACATCTGTTGTTGACCAAGGGAGTTGACGTGACTCGAACTACAGGTGACATGACGCTGGATTAGAATGTAGATGAATATTACAACAGGTTTCAAGCTGCAGTATCCTACTTAAATTCGGGAAAATATAGTTGTGACTGTCTGATTGCCTTTCTGTTTGTGCCTGTCCGACTGTTTCTGTGTCTTTAGGCTGTATGCGATCGGAGATCTCAATTATTTAATAGATAAACAAGTTATCAACATTTAGGGGCTGGGACGTGTCGCCCACACACACTCTATTGTTAATGTACGCTACTAATATTACTGCACTCAATTACAGACCGCCTGCCCACCCACCTGCCCAAGTGCTCAGTGACATGCCCCTGACCACCTACCCAACCATCCACCAGCCCGACCACGCACCCTCCCATCCACCTACCCAATAGTTCGACCGACTTACCAATTTTTATATTAATGTTAAGGATTGACATTATTGTATAACCTGTGTTGTAATAATCATATTAAGTTTCGATTTAAAGCTTTCGTGACTGCAGGGATTCATCTTCTTGGTTCTTTCGGTAAAGTCACGTAGAAGGGAAGTAATAAAATAATAAAAATAAAACATAATAAAACAATTCTCACGACGTTTCGGCCACAACGCAAGCAGCCGTCCTCAGGTGAAAACCAGGTCCGTCGAGGCGACAGAGTCTGAATGAAACAGCACACGAGCTTGGAGCATATATATAAGCTGGGCGCATTGACAAAGGAATTTGCATATCAAAAGGAATTTAGCATATTTATGGGAAATGCAGGAATGTGATTAGTACTGCATATGCATGTGCATTATGCAGGATTAACAGCATCAAAGGGAGCTGCAGTTACTGCTGCTGCAGCAGTTGCTGCTGCTGCAGTTTCTGCTGCTGCTGCAGTTGCTGCTGCTGCTGCACTTGCTGCTGCTGCTGCAGTTGCTGCCTTATCCATTTTAATATAACACTATGTATTATTCTACCCACCCTAATGTGTATCATACTGCTATGTTTACTGTACAATTACGACACCATACATTACTGTATGGTGTCGTAATTGTACAGTAATGTATGGTGTCGTAATTGTACAGTAAACATAGCAGTATGATACACATTAGGGTGGGTAGAATAATACATAGTGTTATATTAAAATGGATAAGGCAGCAACTGCAGCAGCAGCAGCAAGTGCAGCAGCAGCAGCAAGTGCAGCAGCAGCAGCAACTGCAGCAGCAGCAGAAACTGCAGCAGCAGCAGCAACTGCAGCAGCAGCAGCAACTGCAGCAGCAGCAGCAACTGCTGCAGCAGCAGCAACTGCTGCAGCAGCAGCAACTGCAGCTCCCTTTGATGCTGTTAATCCTGCATAATGCACATGCATATGCAGTACTAATCACATTCCTGCATTTCCCATAAATATGCTAAATTCCTTTTGATATGCAAATTCCTTTGTCAATGCGCCCAGCTTATATATATGCTCCAAGCTCGTGTGCTGTTTCATTCAGACTCTGTCGCCTCGACGGACCTGGTTTTCACCTGAGGACGGCTGCTTGCGTTGTGGCCGAAACGTCGTGAGAATTGTTTTATTATGTTTTATTTTTATTATTTTATTACTTCCCTTCTACGTGACTTTACCGAAAGAACCAAGAAGAAGAATCATATTAAGTATAATCCAGTGTGAAAACACACATTGTTGACCACAGAGCATGACTCAAAATACAGGTGACCTGACACTGGATTATATTGTAGATAAATATTACAACAGGTTTAAAGCTATCCTACTTAAATTCCTGTGAACGCCCATGATATTCGGTATATTATAAACATAGTATCCATGTTTATACTGTGAAATTCCTTTATTAACTGAATATTTTGCACCTGTTGACATTAATTTTTAGCAGAAAAAAATTAGGCCAACTACGCCGCGATGTGCGGTGTTTATTTTTGCAAGTAAATACAATACTTTACGTAAATACATTCTTAGAAATGTTGAGAAAATTAATTAACGTTCATATTCCCTCTGAACGTGCATGGGCATTGAAATAATGACATCTTCGTTTTTTTTTTTTTACAGGAATATTTTTTTCCTCGAATTTGCGCCTTGTGTAACTTGGCGCACTAGGCGGTCTCGCCTGCATGAAGGAGCTGCCCTGGTCACTCGGAAATGGCAAAATAATTGGGGAAATTACATTTTTGGGTGGGACTTTACCGTACAATTACATGGCCAGGGTTTAACGTTAAAGTAAAAAAACATGGAATGTTGCACGCGAAAGAAAAGGAAATATTACTTTGGAACAAGTAAAATGCTAATACTCCGAATAATAAGCCACTCGGTTTGGTTCCTAATCACATTTATACGAATACAGTCAATTTTAAATGGTATAGTCTCACTTAAAGTTTGTGCTCTGAATTCTCCATGTACAAAATGTCCCAACATCTTAAACGATGAGCATGATTGTTCTTTGGTATGACTGCCAACTTCCAAATAGCCGGCTTTAAGACCGTCATTTTTTCTATCAACGGAGCTCGTTAGAACCTCAATTGCATCCACTTTCTGAGGCTCCACGAATTTCAACGTGAAGTAATCTCCTGCAACGGGCGTCTTTCCCCAGAAGTAGCCACTTTCAGTGCTGTAGGCTTTCTCCGGCCGGTAGTCTTCGAATACCTTGATGTTTGTGTGAAAGGTGGCGGCAGGGTTATCGGCCACATTTGCGGTACTCTCCTGGAAATCGCCGTCCTTCAATTCATTCCGATCGCCTTTGAAGGATGAGTAGAGGCCCATGTGCTGAAATAACGCCGGCTTGAAATTTATGGGATTGTTTTGTGTTAGAATAACACGGAAGTGTGTCAGAAGCCAATCGCATGGCATCTCCTGGTAGAACAAGAGAAGGAATTGAGCAAGGGTGGGGAGGTCATGACTATGGTAGAGCTTGCCAATGTAGCCCAGTCGGGAGAATTCCAAAATGACCCAGTATGTATTTTGTCGTGAAGCAATGGCCTTTTGGATTGTGGTAAAAAAATTCTTTGCACATTTCAGATCATCTTCCAGCATGAGGTAGTAGTCAGCAAGGTTGGCACAGAAGCTAAGTAAGAAGGAGTAGTCGGCGTTCTGCTTGGAGCGGAAGCGCACTCGATCCGGAGGGTCATTGTAGTTGGCCTTGAGGCCCTCAAGAGAGGGATAGATCTCCTCTGGTGCGTGGATCAATAGAAGTCGCTTGGCTAGCACATGGCTGGGGAACATTTTCGTAATTAGACGTGCCGTCATCTCGCACCACGCCATGTTAAAGTCGCACAAGTGCACCACTACTACCATCTGCTGAAGTTCCGTTGAGCTTGATTGCTCAAATATGGACCTCAGGGTGTCTATCAAGTATGGCTCATGTTTCCGCTTTACGGAACAAAGGCCAATCGCAAGAAACTCTGAAAGACACAAAAAGCATACAGTTACATTGGGCAAGTACTCGGGGTATACAATCGTTTTTGTTGAAAATGTAGAGTTATATGGCTCTTTTTCAGAAGTGACCTGGCCATAAATGATTGCTCAATGAAGTGGCTTATCATGTGGAATCGTATGGCAGCCATATACTCTAAAGCCATGTTTCTAAATGTGGAGGGAAAAACCGAAGGTCCTGGAGAAAAAGCTATGCGACCACAGGGAGAATATGCAAACTCTGGTCAGTACTATATCTATGTATTTTAAAATAGAGTGAAAACAACACATTATAAATAGGACAACCAATATGGTGAAAAATTAGCCAAAAGATGATAATTATCTGAAAAGAATCACAATCTCCATTGTGGAATTAATCGTTATACACAAATACTTAATCGTGATTGAAGGTGTAATTACTTCATTCACGATTTATTTATTTCATTTTGGAAGCAAATGGAATTGATAGTGGTTGCAGGTATAGGAAGTATATTTACAAATCAGTTATAATTGCTGTATTTTAATGTGTTTGCATGTGATGCATAACATTGAGTGTCCACATTAGTATTATCTAGTTATTGAAATATGCTTACAATTGCTCAGGATCAGATACAAAAATCAATCCAACTCAGATCCATATTATCACAGATCAAATCAGATCAGTTGACCTTCATCACATCCGTAACTCTCTCCTCTACACCTTCCCCAAATCCCTTGTCTTCAAATTACAGACGCTCCAAAATACTGCTACCAGTCTCCGCACCCGTAAATGAGGGCACATCACCCCAATACTGCCGTCCCTCCACTGTCTTTCAATCCAATCCTGGATCAATTTAAAAAAAACACATTCACAGTCTGCTAGATTCTCCATGGACCCATCCCTGCTTACCTCTTACCTCTCATCACACACCTAGCTCGACTTTCAGCCACACACTTTTCTTGCTGTTCCCAGTGTCAGTGATGCGAATTACACATCGCAACGGTTTAGGTCAGTATCTTGACTTTACATTTCATCATCTCAAGCGTTGAAGCCACCTTACGGATGTCAATGTCTTGCGAACACAACACATCAGCTTTTTTACCGAAACAAATCGAACCAAAATGTATACTCAACTCTTTTCTGTTAAGACGATATTTTTCGTGATGTTGGTGAAGAGTAGACTTGTGTAATTAAACAGCAGTATTGGGGAAGCAGCCTTGTCTTGTCTTGACTGTGATGACTCAGAGATGACGTCCAGCAGTTGTTGCTTCTTTGCCGGGGAGTTTACTTGCCTCTGAGTGACGAACACAATACACAGTTCATTATCATAAGGAATTAATACAAAAATAAACAGGAAACAACCATAGATCCATACACCCCATCACATCTGGCAGAAATAACGGTGATTCCTTCTGACAGAGTGCAGAAGCATTTGCATTGAAAGACAACGCTCGATTGTTTAACCGATACTCCACCATCCGCATGCGCATACACACACATGCCCTGATTGGCAGCGAATTCTGGTGCCAGGTCGCATATGAGATGTGAAAGTGATGCCATGCCCCGGTACTCCAGTAGAAGGTGCCTGTGAGCTGCAGGGGATTCTTCCTCGCAACAGATTTGTAACAATTTGCCTTCCCAGTGTTTCGATGACCTTTCACGATTTGTAGTTGCAGTAAGATTAAATAATTGATTCGTATTTGTTTCATTATCATCATATCTATTGCATTTAGTGTTTAGAACATTTATGTGTAGAGTATTTGGCTGTTATACATTTTCACGTGATAAATCCACTTCGTTGAGCTATTATTTTAGGCCAGGTCGCTTCTGAAAAAGAGCTACATAGCTCAGTAGGCCTTACCTGGTAAAATATAAATTGTTTATAGTTTGAAAATAGTATTTACTAAACATAATTTTTTTATACCGTTTAATCCACTTCATTGCTCAAAATATGAAGTTGGTTTCTAACTAACATTAACCATGTATAATTGACTCTTACACACAAGATTTGGTACCTCGTAAGTGTAATAGTCGATTAAATCAATGCACAATTACACACCTATTTGACATTCTTCTAGAGGCGCCAAATCTCAAAACACCTGGATACAAGGACAGGTGTTTGTGTATGCTCAGAAAGTACTGCATTAACATTTATTGTGTAGAACATTGGCAGCAGCGGACTGCATCGTTTACGTAAACAAATGTGGCATTACGCTTTGGTTCTTTCGGTAAAGTCACGTAGAAGGGAAAAACAATTTTAAAAAATGTACCGGAAGAACCAAGAGTATGAATCGCTGCAATCACGAAAGCTTTAAATCTAAAGGTGTCATTGTTATTTATATTTAAAATCAACAAAGCAAATCGTTAAATGAGAATACCAAAATGAGGGGAATAAAATCATTAAAAAATATGCAAGATGACACACATTACCAGTTATTCTGAATGCCTGTTTTCTCTATACCAGTCTAAACTAATGAAGCTTTCGAAAATACCAAAGAAACAAAGGAAAAATCGCATGAATAAGCATGGATTATGTAACCCTTTTCAACATCCGGTTGTCCTCAAAAGTATTTAATTCATGACAATAACGGTAGCGCTCGTGCCAGGCTCAGTTAGCAGCAGTGCGTCTGTAGCCAGTAATGAGACCCACAGACCAGCACACCAGCAAGTACTGGATCGCGTTTCCAAGTTATGGGCAACCCTTTGATCAATTTGGCCAGTTTTCTATAACTTTTTACAAATGTTCAGATTTGATCATCTTTAGTGGAATTATCGTGGCTCCGTGTAACAGACAGACGGATGGAAAGAGCTAATGCATAAAATGCGTTTCACCTTCGTTTTAAAATGCCAGAATTAACCATCGGCACACTTCGGTACAAGTGCACACCAAGTCATGAGTCCAGACCCTAATCATAACCCTACTAGCCAACCAAACATTACTGTAACAGTGTTATAAATGGCGATGTATATTTTTTATTAAAATTGGATAATAATAATAAGACCTCCATGCCTTTAGATCAGTTGAATGAGTAATTGAATTATAGTTACCGTATTATGCAGCGGCTATCACTTATTACTGCTGAAAACCGTATACAGTAATATATCGGTTAACGCAGGAATATCCAAAGTCCGGCCCGTGGGCGAATCATGGCTCGTGGTCAGATGTCATACGGCCCGCAGCTTCGGTCTTATAATGCGTTATTTATGGCTCGCTAGCTCTGTCAGAATAAATAAATCATAAAACTTTAAAGATGTAATTCCTCCTTTCACCACACGGTGGCAGCACCATTATAACGCTATCTGGCTCTGCATCCGTGCCGCGAACCCTTCTCGAATAATTTCTGCCATGGCGACTGCAAAAAAAAAGAGAAAAGTTGACAGTGAGGGCCGCCGCTTTCAGGAGCGGTGGGAATTACAATACTTCTTCACTAGAAATCGAAGAAATTGTGTTTGTCTAATTTATAAAGAGACGGATGCCTTGTTTAAGGATTTCAACGTAAAGACACACTACGAGACTAAACATGCTACAACATACAACAAGCTAACAGGGAGTGACCATGCTGAAAAAGTAAAGCAACTTCAAGCTGCTCTGGCATCGCAACAGCGATTCTTCACGCCGGCCTGTGAGTCAAAGGAAAACATCACCAAAGCCAGCTACGAAGAGGCCATGTTAATAGCTAAACATGGCAAACCTTTTACTGAAGGTGAGTTTATCAAAGACTGTGTCGTGAAACTGGTGGAGAACATTTGCCCCGAGAAGAAGCAAGAATTTATGAATGTTTGCCTGGCACGCAACACTGTGGCACAGAGAGTTGAGGACATATCGTCAGATATTCAGAGACAACTGGGGGACAGGGGAGTGGCTTTTGATTATTTCTCATTAGCCTACGATGAAAGCACCAATGCATCTGACACTGCACAACTACTTATTTTTTTAAGAGGAGTTGATGACAACATGAACATGACAGAGGAGCTGCTTGACCTCAAAAGCCTTAAAGGGCAAACCAGAGGAACAGATTTATTTGTTTCTGTTTGAGAAGCTGTTGATGATATGAAACTACCATGGAGTAAAGTTTCTGGGATCATTACCGATGGTGCGTCTGCCATGGCTGGTGAGCGAAGTGGATTGTCCACACTGATCTGCAATAAAGTCAGCGAAGAAGCAGGCAACGCTATTAAACTTCACTGTATCATTCACCAGCAGGCTCTCTGCGCCAAACATCTCAAATTTGACGATGTTATGAAACCAGTGACAAAGGCAATCAATTCTATTCGCTCTAAAGCTCTATACCACCGACAGTTTCAGCAGTTCTTGCGTGACATACAGGCTGAATACGGTGACGTAATATATCACAACGATGTGAGGTGGCTAGGTCGGGGGTCCGCACTGCAGAGATTTTTCTCTCTCAAAGAGGAAATTGGACATTTTTTGGGTGAGAAGGGACAACCAATGGAAGAACTGTCCGATCCTGTATGGCTGGCAAATCTGGCTTTTTTGGTTGACATAACGAAGCATCTGAATGCGCTGAATGTTAATCTTCAAGGGAAAGATGCAGTGGTGAGCCAGCTTTATGCTCACATCAAGGCCTTTGGAACCAAACTGCAACTTTTCCAAAGACACTTGTCCCAAACAGAGCCCTGCACCGCGCACTTCCCAGCTTTGAAAGAGGTAATTGACAGTTTCCCACAGGACAACATCGGTGCGCAAATGAAGAGTTATGCAACAGCTATCACATCTCTTTCTGTGCAATTTAACAAACGCTTTCGGGACTTTGCAGTTATTGAAAAGGACATGTTGCTTTTGTCTTCTCCCTTCTCCGTGGACCCTGATGATGCTCCTCCACAGCTGCAGCTGGAGCTCATTGAGCTGCAGTTTGACGATGAGTGCCGCGGGAAACACCAGCAGTGTTCTCTTGTTGACTGTTACCGGCAGCTGGACAAAAGCAGGTTTCCAGAAATGCGGTCATTCGCTAAGAAAATGCTGAGCTTATTCGGCTCCACATATTTGTGTGAGCAAACATTCTCAGTCATGAACTTAAACAAGAACCGATTGAGGTCAAGGATGAGTGACTCCCACTTGCGTGGCATTTTACGCATCTCAACCACTGCCCTCAAAGCCAGACCTGGTCTCTTTACTGAAATCTAGATCTCAGTATCACCCTTCTCATTAGTGTCAGCAAGTTATCTGTTCCTTGGTCAATCTGAAATTGAGTGTTTTGAACGGTAACATCTGTCACTATTAACAGTGAAAAGCCTAAAGCACACTAATGCACTTGGACTTATGGCACTTGTTTTATTAAACTCTTGAATAAGATTTGGTTATAACTGTTGATGTTATGTACCTGTAGATGTGACACAAACTCTTGCTTTCTGAAAGATCTTGTAAAAGACAAGGGTAAAATTCACTTGTTTAAAAGTTAAATGATAACAGACCACTTTGCATTACTTATAACTCCTGTTTAAAATGTTCATGAGGTAAATATATTTAACTCATGGAAATGTAAGGTATTCTATACAGTTTGTTCAATGTTATCTGACTGAATGAAAGGCAGAATTGTGTTTTTAGAGTTGTTCACGTCTGAGTGGCTCATATTTGGTTACATTGCCATTTGAAAAATAAAGGTAATTGTGACAATGATAATTGTTTTATAACAGTGTGTTTTCACGTAACTTTTGTGGTAAAAGTGTCGGAAGGAACTATTGGCCCCCGGGCATCTTCAATTCATCAAATTTGGCCCTCCTTGCAAAAAGTTTGGACACCCCTGGGTTAACGAATCCTCTGGGAAGGAAGCTCCTTTATACCGAAGTGGGCCATGGAGGCCCCCCCTTCGACCCCAAGATAATCAGATCTGTGATATATACTTCCCCCACATTACCATACATAAGAGAGGTTCTGTACTGCAACATCCTCAGGAGCACTTGTTCTTGACGTTGTTGCTGAGTTTATGTGATGGTTTATGCTCAACAAGGAGCATAAACCATCACACAAACTCACCGGAGTGGCTTTGGCAAACGACTGAACACATTCCTGCGGAGGGAGCTGGTAGGAACGTTGGGTTGCTCGGTCAATGGCCAGGGTCAACGGCGGCATGGTGTATTCTGCAAATATGGGCGACTGTGAGGGCGGGCCAAGCCGGCGTGAGTAGGTTAAACGTTGAGTTTTACAGGTAGGAACAACAGGTTCCACACTGCCCACCAGGGATTATTTGTCTGTCGTGCATCGGAATGCAGCCCACCCATGCCCCCCCACCGACCGCCGAGCAAGACCACGATTGGTTGAGAATGTCGGGGAGGGTGGGGGGAAGGTAAACATGCCCAATCATCCAACTCCCCCCCCCCCCCAAACGCCGAGCGGGGCAGCCATTGGTAGAGGTGGGGTGTAAACACGGCCACTCATGCAATCCCCTCCCCACCGAACACCGAGCATAGCCGTGATTGGTTGACGATGTCGGGGAGGGTGGGGGGGAAGGGTAAACATGCTCACTCATCCAACTGCCCCCCCCGAACGCCGCGCTGTCCAACCAAGTTCCTACCTGCCCACTCCAAAGAAACGTATTATAAGGGCACCACAGGGTGACCAGCCCCTCCCCACCCAGCCCCACCCCTCCCACCCTACACCCAGCCCCACCCTCCCCACCCAGCCCCTCCCCACCTAGCCCCTCCCCACCCTCCCCACCCAGCCCCTCCCCACCCTCCCCTCCCCACCCAGCCCCTCCCTCCCCACCCAGCCCCTTCCCACCCTCCCCTCTCCACCCAGCCCCACCCACCCCTCCCATATTTGGAATGCACGACGGACAGAATAATCCCCTGTGGGCTGGTGTAACCAGAGGTTCCTACCAATAAAATGTGGTTTAAATGTTCATCACTGACAATATATGCAGGCAAACAGGATCATCCACAGACTTGGTATGTATAACCTTTGTCCTCTGGAGTAGAATACAGAGTTGCGCAAGCATGATTAGACGTTGAAAGAATACGTGGGGGCCTGCTTTGCAGCTATGGTTTTGCCATCATAGTCAACCAATGGTGGTGAATCCATGAGCAAACCATTTGCTCTAAATACTATTTTTTCATCAGCTGAATAAAGCGTCTTCCTGTATGGTTTAAACCATACACAAAAACTTCACAATTGAAAAAATCGACGTCAAACACACAGACTCACATGCATTAGATAACGTCGCGTGCATCAAGATTACACCTTTTGCTGTGCATTTCTAACTGCGTTCGTTGGTCGATTGGGGGGTGGTTTTATTATATATTCGTAATAAAATAGCCTACGTGTAAATCTTGTTAGCTACAGTTTTTTTTTCTATTAACCAAGAAAATGTATTTATTGCTACTTTTTTACACTCGTGTTGTGGTTGTAGTTTATTATGCTGTGTTAGCTCATTGGAGTTCTACACTTTGGCATTAAAGAAAACACTTTTCTAGAACTGTACTATATCCAAGACGGAGGTACTCTGCAAACCTACCGGCTACCTTCAGAGATTTGTTCATGAAGCCATCCAGATATATAAACACAGACGCAACTTCAACCGAGAAGATGGGTACAAATTGAGCAATTTTGGAAGGACGTTATTAACCAGGTAAAGTCTTAACTGACTGTGATGTTTACATCCTACCTGCCTATGTCAGCTGTTATTTCCGACTATCTGTGTGTGTCTCTCTCTATGACTCTCTCTTAGATCTCTCATGCTCTCATGTCCTTTGGATTACACTCTCATACTCACATGCCCTTTAGATTTCACCGGTTGGGTTGCACTCCCTCGTCGAGGAGGCCGCTCTCCTCCTTTTCTACAGTACCATGCTAATCTCTCACATTAACATCATGCTAATCTCTCACCTTTAACATCATGCTAATCTCTCACATTAACATCATGCTAATCTCTCACATTAACATCATGCTAATCTCTCACATTAACATCATGCTAATCTCTCACCTTTAACATCATGCTAATCTCTCACATTAACATCATGCTAATCTCTCACATTAACATCATGCTAATCTCTCACCTTTAACATCATGCTAATCTCCCACATTAACATCATGCTAATCTCTCACATTAACATCATGCTAATCTCTCACATTAACATCATGCTAATCTCTCACATTAACATAGCCACTTCCGTGCCCTCGTCGAGGAGGCCACTCTCCTTTCTTACAGTTACATGCTCATTTCTCACATTAACATCACTAGCTGCGGCCACTTCTTTATGACCCTTGGGCTACACCCATTTCAAACCTTTTAAAACAGTCTGCCTCAGCAGCAGACCATTCTTTCCCACCTGATGACGGACCATTGTGTTGCGCCCGAAACGTCGTGATTATTTTATTTTATACCTACGTGACTTTTCCGAAAGAACCAAAGAGTATGTACTATATTTGTAATACCGACCTACACGACATTATTGTCAGAACATTTTTGGATTCCTACTTCACTTTTCTGACACGGACTGACATTTACCTGTTTTGCCCCAGAACCGCTTGGGGGGGGGGGTGTTGAATTCCTGACACACCCTCAACCACGCTCCCTTTTGAGGTTCACAAGACCAACGAATACCGTCATAATGCAGGTCACATTCCTAGCATGAGAAAATCGCGTTAAAATGTATTATTGGATTGAATAGCACCCTGCATTGTAATGACTCTCCACAGAAGCGATTAACAATAAAAATTAGTCCACCAGACAAAGTCTGAGAGGCCACAGTTGTATTCTTTTTTTGCACGAACTCATGCCGCACGCGATCAAGAAGCACCCCATCACCCCGCCTCACTCTGTGAAGTCAGGTCCCTCTCTCCATCGCCCCGCTTTCTCTCCCTCCTTTCCCTCGTGACGCCATTCTACCACTGGTAACCTGGGATCACGTCAGTATTTCTCACATCGGATCACGTATTAGCAACTACACATGGTTGAATTTGATTGAGCCACACAATATTTTTTCCGCTGGTATTTTGGGAAATTAACTATGAATGAACCCAGATCTGGAAATTAACACTACATCAATAACTTACCATGATACAATAAACATAAGCATAAGGAACGAGTACTATTACGTTACCATGGCTGTCAATATCTAATTTTAGAACATCTTTAAAAAAATCACATTTGTCAAATAATGTTTGTATCAATTGATAGGCATTGTCATAGGTAAATTGTAAGTTCTACTTTTATCACATTCATCGCATGTAAATTCTGTATCTAACCTTACTTTATCTTAAATAAAAGGAATAGGATAAGTACAATACTGGTATTATAACTAGTGTCAACAATCATAATTATTATACCACATGCACATATGCATGGAGATCACTTTAGTTTGATATTTAATTTTTTTTTTAAATGTATCCATTGTAAAATATGTTTATTATTAGATTATGGAACTACTGTACTATATAATTTATTGCATGAGGCATGGAAATTTAGCCAAGCTACAATACCATCCTTGTTCCCTATCACAGGCCAGGTTTTCATTTGAACCAGTCACACATCTACAATGTGTGGCTTTCACCTGGATTTGGAACATTGTGCAATGTGGCAAGACAGAAAACCCTAGAATTGAGTTGGTAAAAAAAACATTTCGCAGAAGGCCATGAGATATGTATGTATGTACGTACGTAGGTTGATAACTTAGTTCTCACTTTAAGTAGCCAACCGTGCTAATCGATGTGCTTTAACTTTTTTACGTGGAGAAACAAATAATGCAAGGAGGCATATTTGACTTCTGATTTTTGTTACTTATATTCTCCACAATGACACTAATTATGTTGTGCAACATACAGAAATCTCAAGCAAAAGGGCCTCCCTGCGTAAAGCACACTGGGGTGGCATATTTATTTTAGCAGCCATGCACCAATTGTGCAAAGTAAATTTTCCCTTAAGAGCGGCGTTTACCACCGTTTACTTCCCACAAGGTAGTACAATATTCCGTTGTTATTCGCGAGGGATACGTTCCGGAGATGCTCGTGAACAACACATTTTGCGGATAATGATATTGGCCGACGTCAACAGATGCTTCTAAAGCTTCGAGACGTCGTCTCTCTCATCACTTTATCTCATCACTTTCTCCCTTATCATTTTATTTCATCACTCTTTCGCGTCACATTCTCTCTCATCACTTTATCACATCACTTTCTTTCTCTCTCTCTCGATAGTCTGGGGGAGCCCCGGATGCAATTCGTGCGTAGCCAAAATCGCGGATTGCAAGTTCGTGAATAACAAGGGAAAACTACTCATTTTATCTATCCCATCTGATCTATCGCATCTGGATGATGAGTTGGTCTCTAATGAGGGATCAAAATTAAAACCTTCCGATTGTGAGTCAAGTGCGATGTCAACCTCACCACCTAGGTCAGGGGTCGGCAACCAAAATAATAAGAAGAGCCATTTCTTTCCAATTCGGTACAAAATTCAGTATTTCAAGAGCCGCAATGCATCTGAGTACATACTGTACATACGTACATATCGTCAAGAAGCAGCCCGTAAAGAGCCGCATGCGGCTCCGGAGCCGTAGGTTGCCGACCCCTGACCTAGGTTATGCGGTCAAGAAACGTTTCCGTGCCAGAATAAACGAGTGAAACTGCACTGTTAGACCCCAGCACACCGCAGTGTCCACTGTTGTCACCATTGCACGGGACCTACCAATAATGTATTGTATGGGCGTTCCCAGGGCAGCAAGAACGCCACTACGACCAGGAGGCTGACGACGATGGTGAAGAGAAGCACCACGCGGCCGCATTTCCACTGCAGCCTCATGCTCCTTGTAGACCTGCAAACTGCCAGATGTGCAATATGTGCGAACCTCAACACGGGTACCTATACTTTACACCCTACCCTGCGGTGTACAGACTAATCAGGTTATCAATTATACATTACATGAGTACGCATTGGTAGGTATTACTGCGGGGATATTCATTCATTGCACTTGGGGGCCATCCATTTAGTACGTACATATGGGGGGGGGTTAACCCAAATGCGTACACTTGCGTATGGGGTGTCTACTGACAATGTGCGTATGCATAGGAAACGGGGGGGGGGGGGGGGTGAAGCCTCGATAATAACTTGTCTACATTGGCCTTCCAATGAGCCACAGTTCAGTTTCTTCAGCTGTCAGACAACAAGTCCTAGCGGGAGAAGTGGGACTGTGGGAGAGGTGTCACTTATATGCCACCGTGCCCCTGACTGCAGCTATCACGCTGCTGTGCTTCAGCCCGACACTACACGTGTTGACGAAACCCCTATAACATGTCACCTGTTCGACTGGGTTCAGTCGGCGTCTGAACCTAGCGGACACGAGACCAACTTTGTAAAGGTACGCAACTTAAATATTTAATGCAGCCGGCGGTGGACTATCTGTTTGCTTAAACACGTTAAACGTTTGACAGATTTTTGCGTACCTACTAAATGGATGGCCCCTTGTTGACTAGAGAAACATTTCGATGGGTCTTCATAACTTCTTCACGGAGCACCACTGGAACCTCATTTGCCAGTAGAAAAATATGATAATTGTTTTTTTTCCCTTTTATCTGGCAACAAAACTGACACCTTTTATTACGAGGAGTCATGTTTGCATAGACCGCAATACCTGCAGTCATAATACAAACAAAAGAACATAACTCTGATAATGTGCACTGTCCTTGAAGTTGATTGGTCCACACCCGAGACAGCTTTCCTTAGAGCCTAGTCTCACATGGTGTTGGACCAGTGCGCCTTTTGGCGTCATCTGGTAAAAAAGGTGTCAGTTTTGTTGCCAGATAAAAGGGTAAAAAACCAATTATCATATTCTTCACGAAGCCTAAACAGACTGAAGAGAGTGAGTGGGTTTCGGCAGATGCAACTCCCTCATGAAATCATCGGGGGGGGGGGGGGGGTGCTTCTACACAACCGACCGATGTGCTTGTCAGGAGAAGCAAACCACATGAATCATCTCCCTGAGATGCTCTGCAGCACCACAATGCACTCCTCAAGATTTGACAATGCCAACACCCGAAGCAGTGGCCTGTGCAGAATATTGGGAAAGACCATATAGGTTGGACAGAAGATATGACGGAGAAGAAGAAGATTTCCGTTTTCTGGAGCAGCCCTGCTAAGTTTAGCAAATGGGGACGTGGACTGCTATGTAGATTGCAATGGAGTAATTTTCGGGTATTTATTTCTTCAAATGTGACATATTTGAAGATAAACGATGGAAAAACAATGGCCTACTGTTGTGAATGACATAACGTGATCTGTAACGTCCAGCGCCAAACAGACAAAGCATTTTTTGTCATGGTAAATACACCCGTAGTATTAATACTCTTAGTGGCAACCGGTTTCAACCCGTGAACCCCTGTAACGAGCGTTGAAAACCCACGACTGCTAGGCCATGTAACTGCCCTCCAATGGAATGTGCAGCGAGTGCTCTTGCAATATGCAAATATTGTGCACCTGAGGCACATTGTGTGTTATTCAGCACTAAAAATAACAACTCCCTGCCCCCCTCAGCTTAAACATTTTAAAGAGTATTTTTAGGAATAAAACAAGTAACTAGATCAGCAGTGACACACAGCTGGCGTGCGTACACGCAGAGTTTGCGCAAGCCAAAGACAGGGCCATCATGTATGTAGGTATGTTGAAGCTGTTTCGCAATTCACGTAGGCATGTCGTGTATTGATCGAGTTTATTGTATGGAGATTATATTTGTTGACTTGCGTTCACCATCAACATGCCAATATTACACGGCATGCACCAATTCATCAACATATATTATCAGATGTATGATATTAACTTCAAGTCACGTGTTCCTTCATTATATGAAATAGTGCCTAGGGGCATAACTTTAATGCAGAAATGCGGAGGAAAGATTCAGTTGATCACACAAATTTATGAAACTCCCAGATCAGCTGGCCTACGAGGTGGCTCAGGCATGGCAGTGCAGCTCGTGTATACATCTAAGTCCAACTTTAGGTTTTACCCTCATGTATGGGATTGCTCTGGTTACTCCAGTTTCCTCCCTTGTGCCAACACACCAATTACTGGCATTGGTGAAACATCTCTTCTCAAACATATTGAAATGTTTTGAGTCTTAAAGACGCTCACTGCATCGCACACTTTCAGATGCGCTTCAGCGGCCGTCTGTAACGCTAATATGAGGAAGACACTTAAGCCATGCACTTTTAAGTCTAGAACGAAAACTACATTCTTTAGAACTGCTTCTTGTTGTTAGTTTTGTTGTCCTCCCCCCGCATCTCCGATTAGCACTCTTGCCTGTGTACTGTGCGAAGGGAGTTCAACATACATGTGGTTGCATTTAAATGACACATACTTTAAATCCAAATTGAAATGTGTGGAGGACTCGGTGAGGCTTTCCTGGATTTCAAAAACGGCATGATCGTTATTGTATGAATGATAAATAGCTTCGGATAATGAACATCATAACTTAATTTAGAAGACCGTAACTCCACTTATATCGCACAATATCCTACACGTGTGACTTGTAAGAATAATTCCCCAGGTCACCAAACCAGAAAGCCAAACTCCTTTAATCTCATTCGTTCTGCAGATGTGCACGTATGCTCGAAGATTTCCATCAACAGTCATGAATATCACTACCACTTTATACTTCTTGCAATAATTTGCAAATTGTAAGTTCAAGATCATTATGCAAACGTGGATGGTGCTAGCAATAAATGTTCTTGGATGGGAAAAGTTAACTGCAATGGAAAACAAGATGCTTAAAGTAATAAGCCTCAAAGTGAATATTCTGGTGGAAGGCATCAGAAAGAGCTTTGTTGAATATCTTAAGTTAAATACATCTATAACCACCGAAGGGTGTTATGCCTCAAAATAAAATAACTAATTGATTTTTCAATCACAATCCTCCAGTCGCTATGATACCATTGGAACCACATTTAATATATTCGTGTAAACGTGCAGATACTATTCATGAACGCAATTACACATTATACCGTAATGATGTTGCAAAGCAGCCATGTTTAAGTATGAAATATAATTGTACTGAACTTGACTAATTCAGATAATGCTGCTTTACTCGCATGTGTGATGACATTTATTATTTTATTTGGTGTGATTTATTTACATTTTATTTTATTTCTACATACGTGACTTTACCGAAAGAACCAATGAGCATAGTAATTCCCTGCAGTCACGAAAGCTTAAATTCTAGATACATTTAATAAATTGTATATATCCCTGTAAGCTTTTTCTCTCGCCACTGCTGGCGGAAGAGCCTCCAGTCGGTCATTTTGACGAACGCTTCCACGCTGCCCAGAGATTAGAAGATGTAACCATGTATAGTGCCCCTTGCAATCGCCTGTATTCTGATATCCTCTACATTCGAGATCCATCATAATTGTAATAAAGCACTTTGTTAAACGGATAACAAATATGAATGTAAATTAACCACAACATTATGCAAAATACCGAATGTAAATAAGCAAAGTACCACATATATTCAGAAAACACGACGGCAAAAGCTACATGACCAAATTAATGGCAGGATATCATTAACAGGTATTTGCAAGCACACCGCTCCCTTTGCGATAACTCGATGTAGTTCTAAATACACTTAAAATGTATCGCACGCTTACCTTATCAACTGTATAAGGAATCTGAAAGATCACCACTGAGCAAAAACATCCGGTGATTCTCGTTACTTCAGTCACCTTGCGACGTGTGTAGTCCCTGTTCATGTCTACGATCCGTTTGCTGTCCGAGTGCGTGGCCAAGAATTCTTCATGCGAGTGGGCGGATCCCACCGCACCTTGCGCCGCACGTGGCGAGGTGGAGTTCGAAAGAAACCAGTCTGACAACTTCTAATCATGCTCAAGGGAGGAACTGTATTCAAGTACGGGGGGGGGGCAGACAATGTTGTAATTTTTATCCCAGAATGTGAACCGATTATGTACAAATCAATCGTTTAAAATTATGTCATGCACACGTTGTAACTTCTGTGAGAAGTGCTGATAGACAATGTAGAGAGAGCCGAATGCAGAGTAATACGATAGCGAAAATCACCCAGGAATGTCCTTAACGCTTGTGACGTCACTCCACGTCGGCCAGCCCCGCTAATTAATACTCATGAACAGGTTACGTCCTCCACATGGACCCGCCCCTCATTAATAATCATGAGCGGGTAACGTCACTCCGCATTGAGACCCCACCTCATTAATAATCATGAACAGGTGACATCCTATTCTTTGGTTTTTTCGGTAAAGTCACGTATATAGAAAACTATATAATAAAAGTAAATAAAGTGAATATTTATTTTTTCTATCTACCTGACTTTACCCAAAGAACCAAATAATATTCACGAAAGTTTGAAGTCAAAGGTGGCATCCTCCAAATGGCCACGCCCCTGCCATTAATAATAATTAGCGGGTGACGTCACTACACATGGGGGGGGACGGGAGGCGCCTCCTCCCCCCTCCTCGGCGTCAACTCACAACCCTCACTACAAAGGCAGAACCCTCACGTCACACGATCTCTGTAACGCTATTGAGACATCAAAGTAAAAAGGACGTCATGATGAACAAGATATTATAACCTTCATATGAAATAAGTCTGTGTCACCGCGCCCTTATAAATTGCACACGAAAGGATGCAATGAATATCACGTCGGGGTCTGCTTTTCGCTTGCAAGTTTCAGATTTACTGCAATACACCCGTCCTTGGATGGGCAAAAGGCTAGTTTTTTATTTTACAATGTAAGACCCACTGAGATGTACAGATATTTTTCAGAAGCAACCTGGCCACAAGTGATAGCTCAACGAAGTGGCTTTTGAAAGCAAAAACCGGAGGACCCGGAAAAAATACACGCGACCACGGGGAGAACATGCAAATGCCAAATATACAGCAAGCGTCGGTGCCAGGCGAGGCAGTTAACATCTCACCACTGCACATGTCAAGTCTCAACGATTCCCCGTGAGACTCACGTTTTCTCACAATGTTGACTCTCTCAAGGCCGTGCAATGGAATGTGTTTGTACCTGACAGCATACTCATCCCTATTTTCTTTCAGTACTGCACTGGCAAGCTGCTGTTAATGGTTCAGGTCTCATGAAAGGGTTGAGCTTCAGCAGCTTTCTATTTACTCACAGCGTGTGAGGGAAATAAGTATAACCCGTAAAAACAAAGTTTTTCACTCTAAATCTTTTATATGCGTGGCGGCTAGAGTCCTCTCGTCCTCTGGCTTGAGATGGCTGCCACCTATGGGGCAGATGATTGCAGTATTAAACAATTGGTAATTAAATATTTAATTTGTTTTCCCTAAACAGTGTAAAATTTTGGATTTTTTTTTCACGAACATTAATTGTCTCGCACAACGAGTCTGTGTGTAAAATGTCAGCTCGATTGGATCACGGGAAGTGGGTTAAATAACGACCGAAATGTTTGCACGGTCGTAAGCAAGCAAGCAAGCACGCAAGCAAGCAAGCAAACTTAATATGAAGGATTAAAAAAAGCAGGAAACGTAACTATCAAAGGTTCTTACTTCATTTACAATGGGGATGTTCACGAAGTGGTGTATAATAGCCTAATGCTGCAATGCCACGGGTCGGCAACCTTTCAAAGAAGAAGATACATTTGTTTTTGTTTTTCTACTTTGACCAAAATAGTTTGAGAGCCACATCACACGCAGAGCTAACTTGGACACAAACGCAGCAGCAGGTATACAGCAGATTAGAAATTCTGACTTAAATAGACAAAATAGGTGATGGAATAAACTTCGTCTACAGTATTTAGTTCCCCCATCCCCTTCGTTATCCTTTAACGCTACAGTTTGTACATTTTGTTGTTACCAAGACATTCCATAGTGACTAATTCCCTGCCATATTTCATAAATTACACTGTGTAACAATGTTTTTTGTTCCTGGGTAGTAAGTGTTATTTCATAATTGCTTATGCCTAAAAAGTACAGAAAATGGTTATTATTCCCCAAACTTTGCTTTTTTGACCAGGACAGTGATGTTTTGAAATTTACCTATTTTCCAGAACATTCCAGATAGATTCAGTGCTGAGTAAACTTGGAGAAACTTCCAGAACATTCTAGAACTTCCCAGTAATATAAATAGTAGTATAAATACAGGGGCCTTAAGCCCACCAGTTCAGTTTAGTTCCAGCTGCCTAAGTGGATACATACTGTATCTGCATTTTTCAGAGATGGCATCAAGAGGCTGCAAGCATCCAGCAGACGCATTTTGCTATGTCTGCGGCCAATTTATGAAGACAAGAGCGAAAAAGTACTCTGTGGAAACATCTGCTAAGATGTGAGAGGCCTACAAGGCATTCGGCATGCCTGGCGGGGATCAAGACAAACCCTGGGCACCTCATTTCTCCTGCGAGCAATATAAAACAACTCTGGAAGGTAAGATGGACAATTGTTTCTCGGAACTTTAAGTTAGAAAATTTGTTAAAACATTTTAAATTGTAAAAGTTTTTAATTTTAAAATGTTTTACAATTTTCAATGTTATTGAAAAACACGTAGGCTTTCGCGACCAATATCATCCATAATAGGTTTTTGGGTTAGATCGCGTAAATATATAAATGTGTCATTAAAACCTGTCACCACTCGACACAGGGTTGTCACGTAAACAGAACATAACAATTCGGTGTGTTAGAGAGCCAAGCCACAACATTTACCAACCGAGTACGACTTTTTCCAGTAATTACAACTAGCTTCATCAGGCAACAGCCAGATTTGTGGAGAAGTCTTACTGTTTCGTTCTTATATAGAGGCGTAGATGTGTTGACCACCCTTTTGTGTTCTTGCACAATGATGGAGGGGGGCGGGATTACTGAAGCAACGTACATTATGCATGTGCATTATGCGAGCCCTTTGAACTTGTCCTTCCTATAGTTTATTAAAATAGCCCTGTCCAACGGTAATCCTATTGAAGTACGCTGCCCTTTGTAGGCATGCATTTAAATCATGTATTATTTGATGATTTCTTCCACGAAGCACTAAGACGGTAGCTATCCGAACGGTGAAAGTTATTTTGATTTCTTTCAATTTCGATAGATTCTCTAATTAGTCTTGGCCAATAGTAGCTAAAACTAGATTCGAAGCTTTCGTGACTGCAGGAATTACTCTTTGGTTCTTTCGGTAAAGTCACATAGAAAGAAAATGAATTAATTAATAGAATACGACGTTTCTATTGCAGACACACAAGTAGAGAGAGAACACACATAGAGACACACAGTGTGGCGATGTGTGTCTCTGTGTCTGTGTTTTGTCTCTCTCTAAAATGTAGCATTCTTTGGAAGAACGTTAATCAACCAGGTAGGATGTTGACTGTTGTGTTAGCCGACTCTGGATTGTATTGCATTATATTTCTAAGTTAGCTCTGTTCGTTTTCTCATTCATTCGTACCTGATGATGGTTGCTTGTGTTGCAATCGAAACGTGGTATTCTATTATTATTTAATTGATTTTCTTTCTACGTGACTTTACCGAAAGAACCAAACAGTAGTAGCTAGTTTTGCACAGAACTTCAACATTATCAAAATCAATTGAGTGTCCTTGTTGGCACGTGTGTTCTGCTACTGCTGACAGTTGCATTTGGGATAATTTAATATTTATCTGATGTTCTTTTAGTCTCGTGCTGATCATTCGTCCTGTTTGCCCAACATAACATTTACCACACGTGCAGTTAATCTTGCACACACCTTCTGATTGATAGCTTCGGTAACACATCTTTTGTACCAGATATTAAATTCTGTATTTTATGTACCGTGCCAAATCGGACTCGGATGTTTTGTTTTTCCAAACATCTGGCTAGTTTATCAGTTACTCCCGCAATGTACGGTATTTTGATCGTTTTAATTACTTGGGCAGTTTCAATGCTCTTGTTATTTGATTTGGTATTCAATGCCCTGTTGATTTGTGCATCATTGTAACCGTTCATTTGCAGCGCTTCTTTGACATGTTGAATTTCACTTCTCAGACTGTCACCATCTGACACTTTCTTAGCTCGATTAATGAATGTCTTGATAAGAGCAGATTTCTGTGCGTGGTGATGGTGTGACTGCATTCAGATAGGCGTAAGTATGCGTTTTCTTTCGGCAAACACTGTGTTATTTTACCATTTCTACCCCGTCCGAGCAGAATATCCAGAAATGTCAGAGTTCTGTCAGCTTCCACTTCAATGGTGAACTGGATGGATGGGTTTTGCGAGTTGAGATTATTTCGAAATGCGTTCAGCGTATCTTTGCCGTGTGGCCAGACCACCAACGTGTCATCCATATATCTAAACCAGGCAGATGGTTTTAGTGTGCTTGAAGCTATTGCTTTTGTTTCAAAATCTTCCATGTACAAATTCGCTATCACAGGAGACAAAGGAGAGCCCATTGCTGCTCCATCCTTTTGTTTATCACTTTGCCACAAGAAGTAGGTGTTCTTTAAACAGCGTTCAGCTAGTCTTGGCATATATTTGGCTAAACCGTTGTTCATTACCAGAGTGTCGAGTAATTTAATTAACTCGTTATGAATTTTTTTAGCGAGAATCTCTTACACATTAGTCATGGGTGAAATAAATATTTTTGTAGGATGGTACAGAGGGAACAAGAGGGCCATGAGGTTCGCTATCCCAAGAATTTGGCGGGAACCCACTGACCAGTCAAGCAACTGCTACATCTGCATGGTGGACCGTTACAAACGTCGGACTGGCAATAATGCACCTGCTATCACGTATCTGGATCTTCCTACATCCATCGCCCCGGTGCCACACTGCCATGAGCTCCCCGTACCACTCCTCTGGAGAGAGAGCAGCCGTCTTTAGAAGAGAGCAGTAAGTCAGAGAGCGCGGAAGATGTTGATCCATATGACAATTTCAGACGTGGAGCTGAGGAGAGAAACCCATACTACCCCAACCAAAACGACCTCAACGACTTGATCAGAAATCTTGGTCTCACCAAGTCCAATGCTGAGCTTTTGATATCTAGACTTAAGCAGGAACTTGTTGGATGAAAGTGTGCAAGTCGCAGATCAGAGGAAGTGTCACCAACTTTTTTGCAGCTTCTTCACCCGTCAAGATGGGCTCTGCTTCTGCCACAATGTGACCAGTTTGTTCGAGGCAATCGGGATCGCCTGTAACCAGAATGAGTGGCGCCTCTTCATTGACAAATCATCCAGGAGCCTCAAAGCCGTGCTGCTGCATAATGAAAACAAGTACCCGTCTCTTCCCCTGGCTTACTCGGTGCACCTCATAAAAGGATTACAACAGCATCAAGACCTTGCTGGACACCTTGAAGTATGAGTACGTCTGGGAGGTCATCGGAGACTTCTAAATGGTGGCATTCCTGATGGGTCTCCAAGGCGGTTTTACCAAGTTACCCAGCTATTTTTGCCTTTTGGGCAGCAGGGACACCAAGGCGCACTACCACAGGCGGGACTGGCCACATCGGACCGAAAACTATGTTGAGCTGGTTGAGACTCTGGTGAAGAACTACGGCACAATGGGCTGTAGGATGTCCCTCAAAGTCCATATCCTTGATGCTTATCTTGATACATTCATGGAGAACATGGGAGCGTACTCGGAGGAGCAAGGCGAGCGCTTCCACCAGGATATACTAGACTTTGAACGCCGCTACCAAGGACAGTATAACGAGAACATGATGGGAGACTGCATTTGGGGGCTGATTCGTAAAAGTGATTTACAGAATAATCGTAAATCGCTAAAAACTACTCGCTTCTAAATATTTTGTAGTCATTTTTGTATTACTTTAGTATAAATAGATCTTAATTTTGATTCATGTTGTTTTCTGACTTTATGTGAACGAAAATATACAAATTTGCCCGTTTTCTCATTGAAAATAGGTACATTTGAAATGATCACTGTCCTGGTCAGAAAAGCAAGGTTTGTGGGGAATAATAGCCATTTTCTATACTTTTTAGGCACAAGAAATTACAAAATAACACTTACTACCCAGGAACAAAAATTATATTACATAGTGTTATGTTTACCTTAAATTATGTTTAACATTCCCTTTTACTGGTAGGAACCTCCTGGTTACACCAGCCCACAGGAGATTATTGTGTCCATCCGTCTGTCGTGCAGGGATGGGCTGGGTGGGGAGGGAGGGGCTGGGTGGGGAGGGGAGGGAGAGGCTGGGTGGGGAGGGGCTGGTCACCCCGTGGTGCCCTTATAAAACTCAACGTTTAACCTACTCACGCCGGCGTGTGCCCACCCTCACAGTCGGGCATATTTGCGGAATACACCACGCCGCCGTTGACCCTGGCCATTGACCGAGCAACCCAACGTTCCTACCAGCTCCCTCCGCAGGAATGTGTTTTTAAAATAAACGGCTGCCCGCAAAGGGGCAGCCAAAGAGCCACAAGGCGGGAAGTCAAAGAGCCAGCATGTGGCTCTGGAGCCGCAGGTTGCAGACATCTGAGCTACGTGCACTAATTTAGTAAATTCCCCCCCCCCCCCCACCTCTTTTTTTCCAAAAGCACAATCACAACTTGCCTGCGTGACAGTAAAATATTCCTGTGCCGCAGTTTCTTGGGAGGGGGGTGGTTCTCTCCCAACATTTGCTGTCGGAGTCTCACCGATGTGAACCCTTTGGGATTGACATACATGGAGGGTTCGTCAAAGCCAATAAATACATCTCCCATGGTTGCATGTCATTTGTCTGCAGTGCTCTGCGCAGACTGCAAGTCCTTTAGTGTCGGTGTTGTAGGAGGCCAAGGGTGGTCATACCACATGTAGCATCTCTTCAATAGCTGCAAGGTTAACTTAAATCCGGCATCAGAGCAATTGCATCACCTTTACAGCACAGGGATAACTCGATTCTACAATCTAGCCGTCTTGTGTCTTTTGCATACCTGTCAACCCATGCGGTTTACCCCTGTTATTGTACAGGGAAATTGAGTTTTCAGGTCCGTACGACGTACAGCCGTTTTAATACGGGCAACAAACAATGTTTCGTCTCTTGTTGGTGTTTCTCCCTTGTGATGGAACTTTGTAGGATGAACGTCGAAATTTAGAAGGGGCATGCGGTGACCAATAAGGTTGACACGTGTGTGCTGTTGTCAACACTGTTTTGTAATCCTCCTTTGTGGGATTGTTGCAACCCCATTCGTGCTAGGAAAGTAGCTCTGTTTATTTTTTTGCTCTCAAAATCAGCCTAACGTTTCCAACTCCCCGAACACAGAATCGGTATTTTTCTCTTTCGAGGAAATATGAAGCACTTGGCATTCAGCACAGGATCCACCATTACTTATTCCTAGTTTCGTCGGTTTCATTCAGTGTCTATGATTCACATCCAATCAAGTGCAGTGTGCGAACTTCAGCATTGGGGATAGAGACAACAGACAGCAAGTTGTGATGCTCATCACAACACCTGCTGATGTCTTGTGCTGGCAATAGAGTAGTGAGTATGTACTAAACAGCACTTACTTAATACTCAACGGGAGATCTTTATCATCGTTTCTGCGCGTGGAGGAGCCCATTGGTGCATTATTACTGACCCTGGTTTAATTGCGAACATCAAATGCAATTGATATCTACTCTTGGCACGAGCCTATTTTGGCAGATCAAACGTGAAATGGATCCGCTGTGCAGTTTATACACTTCTCCATAGACAAAGAAGCCAGGCAAGGTGCTGGTCACATTACACATTTTGTAATTGTTTCTATACAGCCCACATTAAGTACTTGATAAGAGTTCTGCTGTTTAACCAAGCTTTATAAAGGTTTGTATTATAGATACACTTTCACCTCTGAATTTGAAAATCTGAGTGCTAACCATTACACCAAGGTAGCATTATTATTTCACAAAATTGGACCCCGACAACTAGCTTTCAATAGATTTCAAAGCCTAATCATGAGTCGCCACCAGGATTAAAACTCAGAATCATTGTTCATTCTTTTTTACATTTTCCTCCTGAGTCATGCAACCAATCACATAGATCCAATTTTAAATAGCTTTAATATAGTAGAAATCTGAAAGACCAAAGCATAGGGAGTCAATGTATGGTAACTTTATAGTCATTAATTTAGCACCTGTCAGACAGAGACTATGGTAGATTACAATAAACGTTCAAAGTTGACAGTTTATTGTCACTAATAATCCTAGAAGCTGCGAGTTTTTGCATATTAAATTTTACATTTTTTGGGCGATAAATAATATTCCGCGTTAAAATTCACAGATTACAGTATATCAGCCGATTCCTCCAAACATTTCGTGAGACACCTTGATGGGAATTTTTGATGGAAATGTTTTGTAAGTGCAGCTGGCTTCTATCACATTGTAGTGCCCCGTGACACAAACAGAGGCAGATAGTTTCTGTACAGAAATCCAAGATACCTAAATGGAGTTAAAAAAAAAACTCGCAAACAAACACCTTGTGAAAACCCATCACAGACAATTGCTGGGTTCCATCTTCCACGAAGGTGCACCCTAAACCGCATCCGCACAAACCATGGCAGATAAGGATAACCGATGCACAAACGGAAATTTCAAAACTTTCAAGTAGTGTGCAACTGTGGTCATCCAGAACAGACCATACAACATTAACGATGCAATGCCCGATCCACGAATACGAAGGCGACATTACAGCGATACACTCCGCTATTGACGCAGTTATATTAGTTATTATAACTGCTTTCTTTGAACCTGCTTTTTATGTTTAGTTTGTCCTTCCCCCGCACCTTGGATTAACACGGTTGGCTACATATGGTGCGAAAGAAATTCAACATACATCCATACATCTGGCTTGACCACCTGCATTTGAGATTGTGGTTGTTGCTCTGCATCTATATCAGCCATATGAAAGACGAATAACGTAGAAGTTGTTTGAGAAGTGCGGGCAGTGGAGAGAAATGTTGCGGAGAAGCACAAATAGTTGAGGTGCCAATAAAATATAACTTATTGATTGATACAGTGCAGAGATATAGAACTGTGATGTTAACAACAGGGAACAATTGTGTGTCATTGTGACAGAGTTGTTTTGAACGTTATTGAATAGCTTACTGGAAATATCCCAGGACCGTCAATTCTGGTGAATGCCGTTGCTTAAAGATTGACAAATTGGCTCAATTAGTAGCTCCTAGGGATACAAATTGGTAAAATTTCACGCAAAAATGTGAGCACTAGCAGGGTTGGGAAAGGTGAGGTGAGAGAGGGTACATTATATTTGACTGCATGTGTGTGCGGTGTGCTTTGCAAATGCATGTTGTTGTTTAAGAGACGCGATTATTTGTAAGTGCAGCTGGCTTCTATCGCATTGTGGTGTCCCGTGACACAAAAAGAAGTGGATAGTTCCTGTACAGAAATACAAGAGAGCTGAATGGAGTTCAAAAGAACTCGCAAACACACACCTTGTGAAAGACCGAACGTAAACAATTGCTGGGTTCGAGCTTCCACGAACGCACATTGTCCCTTCTAAACCGCATCCGCCTAAACCATGGCAGATAGGAATACCCGTATCTGAGTTGTGCTTTGCATATGCATGTCGTTGGTTAAGAGACGCGATAAATCATCTGGCGTATCACGTGTGAACGAACAGTCCTCATTGTGTCCGTCACACATAAGGAATTGCAGTTGACAGCCGTGTACAAATTGCAACAAGGGCCATGCAAGGATATTCACAGTGACATACGAAGACATATTCCCAAAACATTTATTGGAGACATAAACACATACTTGGAGAGAGTATTAACCATTTCAGATCACTGACAGTTTCGTCACCTCGGACGGGAATGAAGTACACGACATTTAAAAAATAAAAGGCTTACAAGCTGAGCTAAATATTAATAAAGTACCGCATCACCAAAATAAGTCTCGTCCAACAAGCTTGCTGAAAAAGAGAATAATTGTTTGTGGGAGACAACTGTAAAATACAAAAGAGAATGCATCCATATGGCAATTATTGCAGGATCAAAAATAAGATCAAGCAAAGCAGGATGGAGTACTTTTGGGATAAAAAAAATATTTGTTTTTGAAGAGTAACGTTAAATTATAAAAGTGCATATTACCTGCTATGACATGGAAAAGAAAAACACGGAAACAAAACAAATGGAACAAAATCTGAACAAAAGCATGGGAATATGCATCATCGTGATTACACTGAGATAGGGGACCATTTGGATCAGATAACACATGCTAATTCTAGACATTGCACTTTTGAAGGTAAGACTGCGGGTTAAGGGCACTTCACGAGCGGGGAAGATAGCCAATGGACAAGACTGGTGACTGAATTGCAGCCAAATGAAAGAACCCACACGAGGATGACCACAATGGAGATGGAATAATAAGATCCGCTCATTCTTTCTTTGGGTCACCACATCATAATGAGCATTTTTGACACTACTGCGTTTGTAAATTGTATTCCTTGGGGTTGGGCTAAGACAGCTACACATAACCAGTTTATAGTACGACTTATTGCGTGTGCTCACTCGTGATATGAGCTGAAATTAGAATTTTCCTACAACTGGAGATGTGGTTTGATCACAAGTAACTGTCCGGATTTGAACACAGGACCTTAGCGGTGCGAGCTCAGTGCTGATAACATGTATGGCCATAATCTCCCTGAGCTACCACTATTTATAACCCACATTTAATTGTCTTATTCGTTTCCATGGGAACCTAATAATTACAGTACAGTGTAAGGACACATTTACAGTATTGGGATGTATATTAGGGTGGCAATCTGGCAGTGGCAAACATCAGCACTGGGGAAAACACATAAACAAGGGCCTGGGTTCGATTCCCGACTCGGATGCCTTTCTGTATGGAGATTGTATTTTTTCT